AATGGACAATTGTATCTGTGTGCTAATTTGATATGGCAACTCGAACTGATGTATGTACGTACGAAGTTCTACGTTGTTGACTGACTGACTGATTGATATATGTGTATGTTAGCATTGCCTTATACAGCTCAATCAACAAAAACGAAAGATAACTTGATTTTTATTGACTAGATGGAATTTGGCTAGCAGTACTCATGTAGCTACGGATGGATTGGTACGCGAGCTAAGTACGACACCATGTACACTTGTGAAGGTGTTGTATGGTAGGTAGAATGATATGGCCCATTACGTATAAAGTAGTTATCATTTCATACAAATACTATATAATGATACAGCTAAATTGTAGAAATACATATCGAATGTATTTTAAGTTAAATAATGAGAATACAGCATAGCGGTAAAAATAAAATAATTTCTGATAAAAAAGACACCAATGGTGAAATCTATTAACACAGTACTTACTGTCATTATTATTGCAAGCACCATCCTTAGCATATCTTGATTCGATTTCCTGTTCCTCTGTGGTTTCTGTTATTAGCTATTAATCACTGTACTGATGTTGAACAATGACAACTAGTGTCGATATGCATTCATATAAAGTTTTACAATCACGTATTTTTTGTATTTTCCCTATGTATTACACACTCTAGTGGAGGGTTGACTCCGTAGATAAAGCGTAGAAATCTCAAGTACTATGTCCCAAATTAAAATCCCACCTCCGTTTAGGCAAAGAAATAATATCACTATCTCTCATATTTAGAGTACGGTTTGAAGACGAGTTCACATATCTATGCCCGATAAATGAATCATAAAATCAGTTTATTCACACTATTATTCCCTACTCCTATCAAACTAGGTGCTAATCGTTAATTTAAAATGATCTCAACTGTTGAAATTACTACAATCTCCACAAAACCCCTTCTGATATTAGAAAATTGTTAAAATTGGTGACTAATTGAATCAATATGATGCTTTTAATAACCAGTTTTTGTTCAAATCTTTATGTACTTCTTAGCGTTGGCTAATTTCTATTTAGGATTAAACGTGTGATATTTGTTAGATTTAATGTGAGGAAGGTCAACTCTAAATGACTCATTATTGGCAAACAATTTGTGGCCGAAATAAGAAAGGCTGAAAGATTGTTTGTAACGTATTTTTGATTGGTTTAAATGTTTTTGTACTGTGTATAGTTTATTTCGTTCTTTATAGTTTATTCTTGGGCATCATTTGTCAAAAATGGATTCATCTAGACAACTTAAGGTTATCCAAACCGAATTAGGAATAACGGAATTCGAACGTGCGACGAGACAGTGGAAAGTGGAGTGCTTTAAACACGAAGTCCCCTTCATGATCACTAATCATTGAGTATAAGCCGATGTTGTGATCCCTTATTCTTGGTGTTTTCTGAATTCGGCAGATCGATTCGTACTATGACTTTAAACTGAGTGGTTTAACAGTACAGTATGATTTTTATAACCAACTTCGTTTCACAGATTAGTTACGGCCCAAATAGCTGAATGTTAACACCACTGAATCTAACGATCTTAGAGGTGAGACTGAATATCACGCATGGAAATCGTTGGCACACCTTGATGATAAGTCTTAACTAGCACAAAACATAGTTTCAGGACTTCAAGCTAATCGCTTCCAACCACTTATCGTAAATAACTCGGACTCCGATTCGACTTTACTAAATTTAATATAAACATTCTACTGGTACTCATATTAACTCCATATATTGCGCTAGACTGAGAAAATGGAATGTGTATGATGAAGGATTTTGAAAAAACGATAATATCTGTCTACATAGTTAACAGCTTAATCAAAAATTTAGAATAAATTATCAATCTGATTTGATTTGAAAAAAATCTCAGTCATTAAATCAATAAGGATTGACAAGACGAAAACATAATTACCACCAGATTCGAACTTCATAAATTTGATCCTAAAAGAAACGGGCTCAATATATTGTCAAACTAGTTTAGAACTGCCACTTTATCTGGATGGCTATCACTTTATACTACTCAAACAATGAATTATCTGTATGAAGTGATTACCTACAGGTGAATTTGCGGAATAAGTCTTTCTACTGTCTCACAAAGTTTTAGGAGGACTATCGTTAAAACAGGTAACTATGTATTTAGCCAACAATTATAATCTGTTTCTAAAATGTATCTTAATACAATTAGTGCGAAAATACAAAATAGAAGTCATTTACAAAGAGAATAACAAATACACGCTTACCGAATAGTAGCAGGAACACAACAAAACGAATCAATAACAGGGGTTAGTCATGTTCACAAAACTGATGCAATTTCATGATTGATGGTGAAATGAAAAGGGTCAGAGTAATAACCAGTCCAGTACTAAATGAACCATATATAGTGGGTGTTTAACTCAAAAAATATCGATTGATTCACTCTTATCGATAGAAATTAACAGTATCTCTATGAACATTTGAATTTTGTTAATGATCTACCTTTTGTAGAAGTGACTTCACACTGAAATAATCTAAGTTCTAACTATCGGTTCTCAGCTTTGAATTCATTTCATCTCTTTAAGTATAAGTAGCTGGATAACATCATAATACCCTATAAAAATTATGAGTAAAAGCCAAATAAATAAACTGAACTTGGTTACTAAGTTTCATTTATTAGTTAAATCTTTGTGAAAATTCCCATTTTGATATTTAGTCCTTTCCAGTTAGTTTTTCATGATGTTTGTACATTAATATATATTTGATTTATAACAATGAAATATTTTCCGAATAGTTGAGTAATGTAATGTGATTATAAACTAATGTTGAATATTTGGAAGAAAGGGTATTATAATAATCAAAGTAATTATTGGAAAAACTCAGTTAAACAGTTGTTACATTACATAATTTATAAAAAAAGTTCACAATATGTTTTGATGAAAGGTTAATATCATAGTAGCTATGTAAGAATCAAAGGACTGATATTGAACAATATGTAGAAGTAGAAAAATGAAAGAAGGAATAAGTTTATTCAAGGCTCAGCTAAAACAAAAGGATGGTTTGGAGCAGTTAAATTCCTAATGTGAGTAAAAACATTACGATTACTTTTATCTGTAATTAATTTGGTTAAACATATCCGTTCGTATCACCACTTCTATGTAATACTAATGCATGTGAGTTTATGTTTGATAATTTTCCATTATGTTTTCTAACTACTTAATATTATTCAAGTAACATAATAACATTTCCCGTTTTTACAGAGTACTGACTCCAGCTAATTGAAAACTGAGTACAGAGAAAATGTATTGTTATTTTTTCGGTTTACTTTGCTAGTCATCAGCATTATTTATCCACAAATACGCGAAGTATCAGATCTGACACATTAGTATCGCAACGAAAGCGGTATATCAATCATCTTTGTAGATCGAGTCCACTGGTCTTTATTCTTAGATTGAGGCTTCCATTCTGATAGTCTTTAGTCGTCCAAACCACCCAGCTCAGAGAACAAAACTCCATCAAAACCATCCACCTGAGCTGCAAAACTTTTCCACTATCTCAGGCTTCCATTCTATGCATGTTTTTTTAATGAAGTTGAAAAACAGTTACTGTTTTTACTTGAATCATCCCATTGATAATTAGAACTGAAATTGATCAGTCTGCTATTGAAATATGTGCATACTGTGCGTATTGCCTCGATATTGCCTTAATTTACAAGCATTATAAGCAAAGATGGAGTCCCAAATAGGACGAGACGCGCGTCCTCGATTCCACTGCTAGCCACTATTCCATCTTAGCTTATTATCAGTTATTGTGTTCAGAAAAGCTTAATGATATTTTGATTATTTCAAGACTTTAACATTGGTGGTATATGTGTGAATGACTTGATTCTATGATAAAACCGAATTGACTTTTAGGTACTTTCGTATTTTAAATGATTTTTCGGTAGATTATAATTCTCGATGAGAAAATGCTCTTGGTTTTGTAAAGTTCTTCACAGACATGAAAACATTGGCCACAATTTAGCGCATGGACCATTGAAATTAATAATATAATAATAATCTGTTCTATATGATTATACTACTAAGTTTTATTATTTGATCATTTGAGTCTTGTGAAAAAAAAGTATGATTATAGTTCGAAAACTACTCTAATTACTATTAACTAAATGTATATTATAATGCTATACTTTTCAAGGAAATTTCGCTCATATAATAATATCTTTAGGACAGTTAAAGTGTTTGCTAAAAAGACATAGTAGTATTGGAGTTTTTATCTTTTTTAAGAAGTATCTAACTCCATCCGTTGTTTAGATCCAACCATGATATCAATTAAATATCGTTTCATTTATTGTTTATCTACCAAATGTATTTTCTAATATTCATATTTACAAATACAATTACTGTCAATGTACACATTGTAGTCATCGTGCTAAACACATCAAAACTGTCTCCATGCTTAAGTAAATAATCTTATTTTTAATTGGTTATTTAGGTAAACAAAATTGCAAATTCTGTGTACCTTTGTTTAAAAATTTATTCCAGTCTAAAACTCATATCTTTTTGGGGGTGTAAATATCTATCAGCTGATGCATATATAATTCATCCTACTCTGAACCAATCAGATTATTAGGTTTAATCCGTGTTGTTTTAGACATACACACGAAGGTCACACATCAATCTATAATAACAATAAAGCTTGCAAGAATGACTCACAATTTAATTCATGCTTAGCGTTGTAGGCTGAGTATGGTAGCGAAGGATTTCATTGAATTTTTCTCTAAATACAGCTATGGGAATCGTGTAGCGGTTGAGGATTTTTCAGATCGCCTTAACTTATTCACAGTTGTTTTATTCCTCTTATCATGTATAATTGTGTCAACAAAACAATATTTTATGAGTTCAATCTCATGTTATGTTCCGGTAAAGCCCACGGGCGACAATTTTAATGCTTACCTTACGGATTATTGTTGGGTACATGGTACAATCCCTCTGAGGCCAGATGAAAAATTACCGGTTAATCGTGAAGAATGGGATGAGTATGATCGTTTAAGACGTATAAGTAAGCTTGCAATTATTTTCTGATTCTTACATTTTGTCAGATTATAATTTATAGGATTTTTACCTGGTTAACTTTGAAAAAGTTAACTTGAAGTCTCCGATTTAAAGGAGATATTTTGTCATTAATTGCTAGATTTTGTATAGTCCTACTAATAAACATGCATAAGTTTATTGTCAGTCCTTCACTTACCTGGCATCCCAACAGAGTTTATTGAGAAGTACCATTTAAGTCGAGTGCATCATATAGTCTACATCAAAACTGTCTACTAATCCTTTTTTTTCCAACAAGTATATTTTTTCTTTGACATCAATCAGTGACTGAAGAACACCTAGTAGTGCACTTTCATGTTGATCGTTCTTTTTGAGGGTTTTTTCATTCATTACTCTTAATTACAAACACCTTAACCTTTTAATAATTATTCTATGTATTAATATTGTAACTTGTTTAGAATACCCTATTATCACCTTAAAACAGCTTATATCAAATTATTGATCTACTTTTAAGATAACTTTTTATCATTATGTGTTCAGAACAATCTATTCATGATTTGCATAAAATTACTTGAGATGCGTGGATATATTTATTGTCTAGTATTAACCAATTAAGTTGTCATGTGCTGTATGTAACTATAAATACAAAACACAAAAGGTTTGTATGTACAATGTTATGTCTTAGAACTATTGATTAGTTTTTGTTTGCGACATTTTCTTTGCTTGTAAATGATTATTCCTAAAGAAAATAGACAAATCGATTAGATCGTAATATATTTATCGCCGGATGGCATTCCATAGTATTAACCGAATGTTAAAAAATGTTCTTCATTGCTTTCAAAGCAAGTTGATATGTGCTACTCATTTTCTGTTCTACATGAGCGTGTTGTGTAATGAACACATCCTTATTCTAACTATGAGTGTGTTCCTAGGTTAATAACTCTTAGGGTTCCCCTATGATGGCTATCTATCTGAAGCAGTCTTAGTTGACAGTAATTGACCTTAGTTGCAATATTGCTGTAAACTAGAAAGCACCAGACAGTGTAACTACTATTGGGCCAACCTTGAATGAGTTTATACTTCAATTTTCAGTTAAAAATCTTGTCTATAATCAGAAATATTTCGCTAGAAAATTAATGAAACCTGTCTGCGTATACTAGTTTTAATAGTATTGTTGACATTTCTAAATGATCTGAATTCTTTTCATGAGCGAAATTCCCTAGTCAGCCAGATCACTATAACCAGGATTATATTCCTACCAACATGTATGTTATCTAGTAAATGACTAAATGGTTTGTCTACATTTGTTATAAACGAACGAAAATAAACTCAAAGTTTTCATCTATGTACATGTTACATACAATCTTCACATGAAAGGCAATCATTCGCTTTGTTTTTGCTTTCACATTGTCGTTTCCCCTTCATATAAAGAAATAACTCCTTATCAATCATAAGCGATCTTCAGATATTTATTCGAGATAAATATCGTGATCCTTTTTCAACTACAAGTATTTCGCTACAGAAGTGTAATAAAGTAATTTACTTCATCGGCGATATCCCACCAAAAATGGTTCGTTTCTTTGCTCTAGTTTTCGTTCTCTGTCAACCTTTTGTGTACATAAGCGTATTGATCAGATATTTGATCTACGATTCAAATGTAAACAAACTGTGATGCATACATATGTGCAGAAAATTGTGTAATTTGTTAGTCTTGTTTCTACACTTCCTCTCTATCTCATATGTGCACAGGTATAAAATGTGAAATTAAATTAAATGCATAGATTTTTACGTAAATCTTTTTTTGAAATTGTTGTACTTCGTTGGATAAATTGGTCGTTGTTTATCATATTGTCTCTTGCTCTATGTGCATTTACACGTCTACATCATTAAATATTCCGTTATATCATCCATTTATTGTACAATCCGATTGATTATGTCTTTATCAAGGTGATTTGCATATTAGTTTAACATGACCTTAATTATTTCAGCATATATTTAGATTTTACTTGATAGTGAAGTCTGAAAAAACTCATTTCACCCCGTTTGAAACTCGTCAACTGAATGTCCTTGTATCTTAATTTTGACGTCAGCATCAAGACTTCAAACCATAACTTCTCTCTTTCAACGCCAATGCATTATTCATTGCTGACCATAAATTAGAGATCATAAAAATATATGACTAAATAAAAATAAAGTCAAGACGTATCGCTCCGAATATACCTATACTAATTAAGATTGATCGATAGCATTCCTTAATATGAGCAATTAGAAAATATCAATCCTCGCATATAGTCCTTTTAACATTTAGTATTAAACTGTACAGTAAATTTATTTATTAACCACTTACTGAATAATTAGTGATCTACAGTGTTTAGCAACGAATTTATGGGATTTAAGAAGTCAAAAAGTTTCATCTCTTAACAATTCATTGATTCGATTCAGCAATTAGTATTCAAACTGTTTTCGTAATTTAAGACAATAATGAAGTCATTTTAATTTACAGAATTCTCTTTCTCACCTTACTCGATCAAAGGAAAACTGCAAAAAGTAACCGTTTCTCTAATAATTATGTGATACAATTACCTGCTTAGGTTTGGGCACCTGAGCAGTATCCCAGCGTATATCTGTTTGGTGCCTCTTCGTACCAATGTTTGTGTTTAAATAAATAAATGCAATACAATTGCTCTGTTGTTGTCATCGTACAGAAAAAATGTTTTACTGTGTTTAATTCTACAGCTTATTACCAGTGGGTCCCATTTGTTCTCGGGTTGCAATGTATATTTTTCTACATTCCACATATTGCATGGCAGGCTGTATGCGCCCATAGATCCGGTGGAGATTTGTTTGCTCTTGTGAAAGCCGCTGCTGACGCCGCAATTTCTGAACGTGGTTCTCGTAAGAGCCAAGTTAAACGTGTGGCTGAATTTTTGGAAGATATGATTGATGGTCATAAGGATTGTCGACATGTAAGTTGATTGACTAGTTTATTTGGTGATATGAAATCGCTTATTGTTTCTAGTGTTTATTTATAAGTAGGAACGTCACCAGGTCATATTGTTGCCCATTTATTTGGACAAAGTGTTACATATTTTGAGAGCTGTTAACTTACAGGTTTTCAAGTTCATTTGTTCAGTGAGTCACACACACATATATATGAGAAACTTACTCAGATACTGAGGTACCACAACATCCTGTCACTAAATTATCTTATAGAGATGACGAAAGCAAGCGAGATGGAAAACGCAGTGGCAATAGGTAACAGAAGACAACTGTTTAGACTTGTTAAGGAAACCGGTTTTACGAAACCAACTGTTAACGAAACTATCTCGGAAAAAGATGGATATATTATTCATTCCCAATCCAGGAGATTGGATCGATGGGGAGAACACATTAGGGATTAGTTCAACTGGCCTTCAGCCACATCTCGGTCTCCCACGATCTCCAGTCGACCTGAATGGCAAGTTGATATAAGTCCTCCAACTCTACGAAGTTGAAAAAGCTATAGGAAATCTGAAGCGAGGGAGAGCAGCAAGCCCTGAAAGGTTTACCCCTGATATTTTTAAAGATGGTGGTCCAGTATTAGCAGTGAGATTGACTGATGTCTTAGGTAGAATCTGGGAACTGGACATAATCCTATCTGACTGGTCTCAATCATTGATTGTGCCAGTCTATAAGAAAGGACAAAAGTCCTCTTGTAACAACCAAAGAGGAATCAGTTTGACTAATATAGTGTCTAAAATATTAGCTTCACTAATGCTTCGACACCTAATCAAAGCTCGTAAAGAGCAGACTAGAGAAAACCAGGCTGGTTTTCGACCTGGACGTGGTTGTATGGACCAGATATTCACCTTACGTCAGGTTCTAGAACACAGATACACATTTAGACGCCCCACAATGGTAGTATTTCTCGACCTTAAGGCAGCATTCGACTCTGTTGATCATGAGGTTCTATGGCAGTGTTTGTCACTGAAAGGAGTACCAAAGAAGTACATTAACCTTGTAAAGGCTCTCTACTCGAACACAACTGGTCGAGCGAGAGCTTATAGCGAACTGTCATCAGAATTGATTACCTCAAGTGGTGTTCATCAGGGCTGTCCACTCTCTCCATTCTTATTCAACTGTGTCGCCGACGTACTTTTAGAGATAACGTTTTCCTCGTCTAGATTTCCAGGGGTTGAACTTCTACCGGAAGGTTCACTTGTTGACTTAAAATATGCCGATGACATAGTTCTGTTTGATAGACGCTGATGGCAAATCAGTAGATGAAGTGGTGAAACTTCATCAGTTGAGATGGCTGGGACACGTGTTACGTATGCCCAACCACCGACTGCCCCGACGTGCGATGTTTTATGATGTAGGAGTAGGTTAGAAGAAAGCTAGAGGCGTCCAGACCAAAACATGGCACAAATCCATGAAGTCACTGACAAGTGGACTGAGCCATGTTGGTAGGTAGGTGTAGATAACCTGGTTGGGATCCGTGAGACAATGGCAACCGATAGTTTGTGACCTTGAATGAAATGGCTCAAAATTGTTTGCAATGGTGATGGTGCATTCACTCTTTGTGTTCTCTCAGATTCTAATCTTCTGAATTCTTCATGTCTCTTTCCAAATTTATTTCACTGGATTATACTCCTTGAATAACATCTCCAAACCCTAATGTTTCCGATTACTACTTATAATTTTACTACCTCTACCCGTACGGTATTTGAATGGACAATTGTATCTGTGTGTTAATATGGCATGGCAACTCGAACTGATGTATTTACGTACGAAGTTCTACGCTGTTACTGACTGACTATATAGATGCTTGTTTCTAAATTTCACTTTGTAATCTAGAAAATTTGGCCGATTACTTGGATTTATTCATTTAAACATTGTCAAATATTTGTATAGTAACTTTGTTGCAGTTTTTTTCAACTATTCGTCCAAGGGACGTGATACAGAATATTTAAGCTGTTCGAATTTGAACTCCTACGGTTTACATTGGCCTGAGTAGTCGGATGTTATCAGTACTAAGCTGTACATTAAAACTAAGACTCCATTTGGATAAATATATGTTCACTAATTTATTTGTATTGATGTACAAAAACATTTGTTTCGGGTAATCAAAGATTTCAATAGTGTGTTCAGTTTGAGAAATGTATCACAAATCATAATATTTGTTGATTTTTAATTTGCAACAAAACGTGGAAGTTCTAGGTTACACTTCAATATTTGTTAAGAGTACATAGGGTGCTTAGTTGCCTTCTATTTTAACAGGTACACATATCAGCTAAACGTATATTTGCCCTCGAATTTGACTGAAGGATACACAATTTATTTGCATTTAACCGTTTTTGCTCATCAAAATTAGAAATGAAAGTTTTTCGAATAGAAAGTGTTGCCAGTGTCATAACTTAACGTGCAATATGCATAGTGTAATTAGCAACAACTGGAAATGAAATATATATGTACCAGGTTCCACAGTGTTCATGACCGACTAGTTGAATAGTAGAACCGTTACTCATTAACGAACTACAAATTTCTATACTCAACTTTGAGTCTCATTTTCATATTTGTGGACCGTTGATACTAGTCAGCTACCCAAAATAACTTAGGTAGGGCAGAGATCGTACCTACGACATAGAGGTTAGAAGTTGAACAGTAGCACCACTACATTTGCTGCATAAACAACCTAACTGACCATTTCTAAACAACAGCTTTTGTAAATCACAATCCACATCTAATGATGCCAAGGGCTGGAATACAGCAAAGGAAAAATAAAGCTGTGAACTACTAAATAGTTTGTTATCCATGGGCTTAGCCTTCTTTTAGAATAAAATTCTTGGTTATTATCAGTACCATGTACTGAAAGTTATTGTGATATACCTATGACGTGTTCGTTAGTATACGATCGTATTTACTACTGAGTTGCTTATTTTAAGATTTAATTATCTTTCTTCTCGTTTGTATAAGTTCTAAACTCAAAACTTCTTATATTCTATAATGTATACGAAAATGTTTACCTAAATTAAAATAAATTTAAGATCCTCAATCATGGTTCAAACAATTCGAAGTTGACAGTCAATTGATAAGCTCTTTTGGTCTTTTGCCTTAAATATAATAAGGTCCATTATTTCTGATGAAAAGGCGGATTATAAATTATCTTGCCCAGGTATTTTGACTCAGCCTCACAACCTCTCTCGTTTCTTTTTTTAATATAGGGTCGTCGTATGAATTTAACTAGACGTGCATATGACATGTGTGGTATATGTGTTGTTAGTAAACGACTTGGAACATGTCTGGTATTTTCATATTTATGTGTTAAACTCATAACAATTATCAATGCAATTATGCAAGTATATTTGATTCAACGTTTTCTTGGTTTTTATGCTGATGGAAGCGCGGGACAGAAAAGTATGCAATTAGGGAAACCATACGAAGCTAGCTCGGCAGGTAAATGGACATTCATGCTTTCTTTTTTGAGTTTATATTCCAAGTAAGAAAATTAAATCGTTTTTTACATTTCCCAACGTCGTCTAACTAAAATTACATGTTTACATTGAATTCACAGTACTTAACTGTGCCTATCAACTGTTCATACTTTTCTAAATGCAATAATCCGAAAATGTAGAAACAATCTCATCATGAAAGGAGGTCTTATAGTACTAGTATTCGCCAGTTCATCGAGACTGAGGTTGAGGTCGTTGATAGGTTTCAAGCCAGTGGCTTAAAATGTTAGTCAAACATGGCTGAGAATATATGCTAATGGCGATATTGTTCTAATTTTCTTTTACATTTTCCATAAATGCGGGAGGAACTCCCTTAACTTGAAGATGATTCTCAGATGTGTCTTTAATTGAACTATATCTCCTATTGTATACTATCCTTTGATACACTGAACTAATCACATTTCGTCAATAAACGTCCTTCCACTTGAGCGCTCGGTTAGAATCGTGTATAGGAAGATTGCTTATATCGGTAGCAACTCAATAACACCCCAGGTGACAGCATTCCTGTCCACTTAATTTTTTTACTACTCTCCCCTATTCCTTTTCTGTTCATTTATGCAACACATACAGTTTCTTCATGCTCAGTCGTCTAATAACCCATGGGCATAAGATTAGTGAAAGTTACTCTAATTTCAAACAGAGAAGTCGGGAGCTAAAAAAATACCATTTCGGATTCATTTTATGTTTTGTCGAATTCAGTAGAAACTTCTTCAGTCGATATAGTGAAGCACAATATTTATACTTACTCATCCAATGAGTAAATTTTCAGCATTGACTAATGTGCCTAATTCCCCACACTGATAATTACCATGTGCTCACTAGTGACTAGCTTCGTCAGGAAATTCTCGGAGTTCTGGTGAGAAGCCGTGACCAGTGGAGCTAATCCGTGTCGGGTAGAAACAGGTTTCTACCTCAGTACAATGGAAGGTGTTCGCGCAATTTCGTGGATTGGTTGAGGCTATACATTAAAAGCATTGGATGCTGGTTCAGTGGTCCAGTAGGTCAAGCTTTCGCGCGCGAGACTGGAGGCCCTGAGTTCGAATCTCACGAGCGGATCGTGGGTGCACACTGTTGAGGAGTCCCACAATAGGACGAAATGGCCGTCCAGTGCTTCCAGGTTTTCAATGGTGGTCTAGCATTCATCGATTCATGATCTCAATCAAAAACTTAACAATCTCCACAATCCCACACTGATAATTCCTCATTAAGTTGAAATTATCTGATCTCAACCCCGCTCTGTTTATCGCACCCATAGCGGAATCTCTAATATTGAGATTATGAACCTCTACCATCTTACTAATTCTAAATTTTGGGTCAGGTTAGTGACACTCCAACTGATGTCACAACTCATGAGGAATACCACCTAACACTTAAACTAATCGCCACCACAAATCTTTTCTAACAGACCTTAATCCCGCATTATTTCATTCAACATTTTCAATCAGTCGCAATCGACATAAAGCTTGAGACAAATGTGTGTCAGTTCAACATTAGTGTGAAGAATTGGGATTGACAAGATGAATACTAAAAAGGATCGAAATAATTATATCTGGTGTTCCCTTGTACTAATATTTATGTGTTCAAATAAATAAATAAAATAAATCAAAATTATCTAGTAAGTGGTAACTACACAATAAACGATGTATTGAGAATATGGTTTGGAAAGACAGAATACCGTAACTCAAGATCTGCAGTAAGATATGGAGTAAATACAAGTGTTGTTGGGACCGGTTCTGGGCCATATCATATACATTCTCCAACCACTGGTCACGGTTATCGTGCGGATTTCCACCACGTAGTCTACGTCTACTAGTATGGCTCAGACCGACAGTCAATAACATTGTGGACAGATGACCAACATCAGCACTGCCCAGTTTATCGTCCCACTGTACCAAACAATGTTTCGGAAACATTTATGATTAAAAACCTACAGCCCATGCATGTCTCCTACTTTCATTAACCATGCTGCATAACTAGAGAGTTGTACAAAGGGGATAGCCTCGTATTATCCTCACCCTTTGGTCGGCAGACAAGCAATTCTCCTAGGCCATAGTTAACTCAAGTTGGCAAACCTCAAGTGGGACTTGTAAATCCATTCGGATGTTTCATCAGATACTAACCTGTTAGAGCTGATAGCTTCAAAATAAGTGAAGTAATCGACAAGCTCAAGTACTTCAATCTCCATCATTAGTTTAGGTGTTGACGCAGTCTTGATATTTATATTATAATTACAATGTGATTTATTAACAATAAATCTTTTTGATTTTATTCTTTCCGCATAGTTGCAGCGATGTCGAATCAAGAAAATGAAGATTTAGACGGTTTCGGATTCGGATTAACTGTTGCCAACCATATACGTGCTGGACGTGATTGGCCAGAGACAATTCTATTCCCACGTGTAGCTTATTGTCGTGTCCCAGGTATTCGTTTAGTCGGTGCTGAAAATGCTTATACGGCACAATGTGCACTACCGATAAATATGTTAAATGAGAAAATTTATATATTTTTCTGGTTTTGGATCTGTTTCCTTATAGCTGCCAGTATATTTAGTTTAATATTATGGTTAGTAAGAATGATTATCGCACCAAGACGTAAAGATTTTATCAAACGTTTCTTACGTATTAAAGGAATACGTTCAAGAACTGGTCAGGAGATTACACGTGCTGATTTAGACGAATTCATTGATGATTACCTTCGCCGAGATGGTGTATTTTTAGTACGTATGCTGGCCATCAATGCTGGTGATGTGATCACATCTGAAATTGTTATGGCTTTATATGAACATTACATAGATAATGTTTATTCAGTGGATAATACCCCACAGAAAAGTTTAGAGAAAGAACCATTGAAAGATGGATCAGGTATACCATCAAATTATGTGTAAAGTTATTCTTGTGTTCTCTCGTAAATATGTGTATTTTTTAATCCATAACTATTGCTCATGAGTATATAGTTGCATTATAGCAGTATTACAAACAATAGTAATAGTATCTTACTAGGTAAAAGCTTAGCATGGAGGTGTACAACACAAAACTGGTTTTTCCAGATATAACAAATCTATTTTTAATTCTTGTTATGGTTGTCGTTCGCACAGTTTAGAATTTCTTACCACTTTTGTAATGGTTTAATTTTTATATCAACGAAACAGTACCACTTTTACGCCTACTAATACTGATTTCAAATGCCTTACTTTTATAATGGGTTTTTTAGCTTTTATTATTATTACTATTACTATTAGTAATACTTTTATCAACAAGTTTTTGAATAGTATGTACGTGAAGATCTGGATTTGATTGACCTGTTTTAAAATTGTGTCTATTCCTTCTTTTTATAACTAACTTTTATACTACTATTACCATATAGTACTGTTTTTATTGTTTTTATTATGCTTACGATTAATTACTACTACTATATTATTATTATTATTATTATTATTATTATTCGTATCTACCTTCCTTTAAAAACAACAATTTAATTGTACCGAAATGATTGCGATTCTGAAAATTTTTTCTACACTTTTGTGACAATTAATGAAAATAAAGGAATCTGTTGGGGCTTATACATTTGTTTTTCGAAAAAAAAGTGAACGGGGGTGTAGTTTGTAGGTACCATTACGAAGGTTTGACTTGCGTTGTTCCTTTATGCTATCTAAACCTGCATTAATTTTGATTTGATTATTTATTCTCTGAAGACGTGGCTTACACTGAGTCACGAAACGTTAGAAAATCTGGTTTTTTTACTCATTGGGAGTGTAGTTTGTTTCCCATGTATAAAAAAACTGGGAGTTATGCTCCTCAATTAAATCAGGTGCTTTGTCAAGTATTTGACTAGGTGTGTGAATTTTAGCGGTCGGTAATATATATTCATTTACTTTCAGATGTCACTTTGTCTCCATAATATCCATTCTTCAGTCAGTTTCATGTCACCTATCTTCTGTAATTGTAGCGTTTCAAAATAGATAATATGTGTTTTGGTCAAATAAAAGTACTAATTAATGTATCGATAGTTTAGTATTGCTAGACAAGTTTAGTGTCAACCGTAAATAAAAATCCTAGTCACACTAAAAATTCGTAACAATTCTAATGTTATAAGCAAGGGTGGATAGTGGCTGGCAGTGGAATCCAGGACGCGCGTTCCGTCCTTTTTGGGACTCGTCAGCTTATAATGCTTGTAAATTAAGGCAATATCGCGGCAATACGCGCTGTATGCACATATGCCAATAAGTGACTGATCAAATCCAGTTCTAAACATCAATGGGACGATTCAAGTAAAACAATACCATGTGGGTTAATTCTAATGTTATTAGTGCAACTAGGGTTATTTTATAAAATTCTGTCTCATCTCCATTTTCATTTAGTTTTACCCTAGACGATTTACTGAAGCATGTTGATACTTTATCTAAAAAACCTATTCCTACCACATCATTTTACACAAATAGGCCATCGTCAACGTACCACTAAAGTAGTGATAACAGCTTCGAATTCCTTGTTTAGTAATACATATTTCTGAGATCCGAACGATCTACTGACTCGTGAAATAGAATTTGTTTTCGTATTCCATAATCATTTCCATGATTAAATATCAGCTGGAATTTCTCTGATTTGTATGTTGTTGCAACATTGTAGAGGAATCTTGAGGTTTCTTTTCGCTGGTTAATGAATGCATATGTAGTTTACAACCAACTAATGTTCAGAAAAGATTATTCTTCAAGTAATTTTTTAGTTAACCCACTTTCCGAAATCCTCATCCCGAGATAAAACATATTCTCCATCTCTAAAGCCCGTAGTTATTCCTATTTAATGGGAGTGACTACCAAATTTATCATTCAAGTTTATGACACTGTCTTGTGACCTAAACTTGTATAGGTGGAATGGATTTGACCTCATAATTATTGGAAGTTGAATGTTTATGTCACATATGAAACTTCGTTCAAAACTATTACCAATTAATAATCATAACATTCCTTTACAAAACAATGTATATGAGGCTGTGAACTTGTTAACCACCTTAAAACTCAGACGGATTATTGATTTTTTTGTTTGGTGTTAGGAATCGATTATTATATCTGTTAATTAGTCAAGTTGTAGGTGTGGTGAATGAGATTACGTCTTGATCATTTTAACTTGTAGAATTTTGATGCAGATATTTTGCAAACGTTTGTCTCAAACATCAGTCCATAGAGTCATTGACAAATGGAATGACCCGTGTTAATAAGTTCAAATTACGTGGTTGGGATCCACGCAACTATCGTAACCAGTGTTCAGAGACTGGTTGATGTGGCTCAAAATCGGTCTCATTGGCCTAAATTCATTTACTTTTGATGTTCACTGAGATCTTGGATGTCAAAATTATACTTTTCACCTAACGAATTCATTCTCGAATTATGTCGTCTAAGCTGAGTATATCCTGCTACTGCTACTATTTCTCCTCTGAAATTTGTTCTGACAGTGCCTTTGCGTTTTGCTAATATGATATGGAAAGGTAAACCGATCGATATATATCGGATTCTTCGTTGTTTAACACTGACTGATATCTTTTTGAAGACTATATGTTTGAACAGGCTTTATCAACAAAAAAATTTCTAGAGATACGATAGAATTGTAGAATATATTCATATAGCTCATTAGTCTATTGGTGGTTTCTTTCATTTATATAATTTGTACATCATTCCATCTAAACGAACATATAACTTGCACGATATTAAGATTATTGGATATTACAGTCGAGATGGAATCTCGATCCCGCAATACGATTATCATTTGCTTACAGCACAACTGTTCGCTATTAACTTAAAACTTGAGTTCATTATTGATGGAATTCCATAGAAAATTCAAATGAACATCTGTTTTTACTAACACGAATGAGTAATCAGCAAATGATGTATATAATCGTAGAATTAATTATAAATGAATTTATTGTAAATCAAGGTTACTTTAAATTCTCAGACATCCAAACTGACCATGAAGCCTAATCCTCTACATCTAAATTAGTTAAACAGTAGATGATATTGTGTTTTTCAAATCATTAACTTCTCGAACTCTGCCCAATCAAGGCTACACTTACACAATATAGATCCAAGATTTATAACACCTACAGTATGATCCGAAATCTTAGTTAACTAATTTAAGGGGATTATATGAAACTGAAGATTAGTATTTTACAATTTCGGTTATACATAAAGCAGTGAAACCAAACTCAACCATTTGCTTAAATAATTTTACTTTGAAGAACGCTTATTTTCTGGTTGGTTGGATCGTTTTCTCATTAGGCCTATATTCATTTCAACAACAAAAATACTAACATATCTAGTGTATTTAAACATTCAGACATAATTTGTTATCATCATAATTATCAGACCGGTCCTACTTTTGCTTTGTTTACAGCCAACTAAAAAAATTTACAACCCATCGTGAACAGTCATTCATTGACCCGAAACAACAACACGACCTTTGAACTTTTTTAAGGTTTTTGCTACTTTTTACCACAATGTATGATTTCTGTCATACAAATGAATTTCATCAACCATAATTAGAGAATAGGATTTGTGTCAACTGTTGTTCTGATGAAATTATTAATATTTAGAGAAATGATCGAACTATTGTGTTTCTCAATTTTGATGGAGTTTTGTTCCCTGAGCTGAATGGTATGGTCGTGGAGCTTTCGTCGTTATTCCAAACGACACCATCAGCACAAACATTAGGTAGAAGTGAAGTGTTCGGATTTCTCAGCATATAGCTCACAGCTTGTCCTATAGACCTCGATTGATTGGTTATTGTTGACCTTTAACCTGTCATTGTTTACTTCTTCATTTTGGTTGTATCTCCTTTTGATTTTTAGTGTTTCTTGATATCAGGCTAATTGATGAATCTTAAAATTCATCCAAAGGATGTCATTTAATAGTTGGAATGTAATGAATCATGAAAGGAATGTTGTCTGGTCAATTGCAATAATAATAATAAATCTATATGAATTGTAAAAGATAAAATACACAATTAAGAATGGGGTAAGATTGAAATCTTACAACCAAACTACTGTATGACATCAATCTGAAAATGTATGCGTTAGTATGTATATAAACTAATAGCTATGAAATAATCTATGTTAAGCGCGAAAAAAATTTGCAGGACAACATGAAGTTCAATGGAGTTTAGTTCGAAACGACAGAAAAAAAGAGAAAAAACATTAAACATGATAAGAGTGATTAGTATCTAAACTTGTACACAACTGGATCCCGGGTCAGTGGTATAGAGGTTAAGCGTTCGCACATAAAACCAAAAGTATTGAAATCAATTTCTAGCCGCAATGTCATGAATACACACTACTGAGAATTCCCAGACTAAGACGAAACGACCATCTAATACCTTCAGGTTTTCAACAGTTATCGTTTCGTGGTTTCGCTAATGTTTATATGTTAAAGTTATAAAAAGAAGGGGTTGAAGTTATAAATGATAATATAGAGAATAAAAACAAACTGTTAATCAAGTCACCTAGATAACATAAAATTAAAATTGACTTCGTAATTGAAAATCAGTGGGATATTTTTAAAATTTATAAAGTACAATAACAAGATAATGCAACTGACAAATAGTAAAATAATGTAATTATCTTACAATAGCAATGAGATATTTACCACACTTTCATTCTGGTTACAAAGTTCAAATTGAGATCGGTTGACGCCAATGGCCCATACAAAACGAAGTGAAAGTGGTGTCCGCTGGTTGTTAATTATTTTCAATGAATTTGTGATTTTCACTTTGTATCCAGTAATTATTCAATGTTTAATGATTGAATTTATGAATATTGTACTTCCTTTCAAAATAACTGATAATACGATATAACTTTGTAATATTGGTTGGAGATGCAGTACAACTGTAGACTGTTAAATTGCACATTGAACATGTATAGTATACAATACGTAATATGATCATATATAATTTATATAAAAATCAGCTTGACAGAATTAGTTAAATGTGATTGAATTGATCTAACGAATCAATTCACTATAATCTATACTAATGGCAATTAAAAAGCAAAACTAACTGATTAAGTGAGTATATTTTGGGGTTTTTACACGAATATTCTAATCAAAATGATATGAATACGTTAATTATCCATTAATAAGTGAATAACTATTAATTAGAGCGGCAGGGTGAGTAAAGAAGGATAAAGATGTGCCTTCAAATTTTAATTTGGTATCATTTTTCAGTGATCCAAACATTCGTATTACTTTGAACCAGTGAGCGCAAAACCAAGTATCAATTAATGAATTTTATGGAAATGTGTATTTCTGATAACTGGTAAAACAAGAGACAGAGAGAGAGAGAAAGAAAGAAAGAAAATGAAAGCATTTAGGCAAGCATCAGAGCATGTTTTGAATGAAACATAAAGTGTGAACATATTCAATCCACATGATCTAGTGTACATTATTACATGTACAAAAACATTCTCAAAAGCCTTATATCAGTTCTTAATTATTTAATTCTATGACTACACATAAATTCCTAAGTTTAAAAGAAAGTGGTTTATCTTACACTGATTGAATGAACATTCACTGATATT